TTCAGAACTCACTGCTGGTGGCTGGATGAGTTACTGATTCATTGCATCAGCTCTTGCATATTTGATCAGTTTGCACCACAGTGTGTCATCATTGCTCAAAACAAACCATTTACTCTGATAGATTTAAAGGAGAAAAATGACAACTGTGACAAGTGTGTTAGTGATAAACTCCAGAAACATGCAACCCACAAATGTGTATATTCAGTATCTCAGACGAGGATTACATGTGTACATCTGAATTTTAGCCGCAAGCAATGTAACCAATCTTTGACACATCAGACCAAAAGTACAAATTCCCACCCATGTAGAGAAAAAGACAGCACTGGTGTAAATACATCAAGTCTCACCACTAATTGTGAGCAGTTGTTTTTAGTTAAAGAACTGGTTTTGAATTATTGTCCTCTAGCGGAATGTTTGTGATATGCTAACAAGGTCTGACTGTATGTGATGTTTGTCATTCAAAATACTTTAACTAAAGCCTTAACAGCAAAGGGTGGAAAACCAAAACAACTAGATCAGAGGGCGAGGTTTTTGTCTATTTATGCATTATGTCTGGAGCAGTACTTGTAAAAAAAAAGAAAAGAAAAGAAAAGAAAAGAAAAAGGTTATATTTGATTGGTGTGGCCTTTTGCATATAGAGTATGTAGCCACTTATAAGTAGATATCTGAACATCACCCTTATGTGTTTGCTAAAAATGATATTCCAAAGTGTTAATCTGCTGGTTAAACTGCCTTCACTTTTCTTTCCAGTCACTCTTTCCAACCAAAGGAGAATTGGAGGCCCATTACTGAGTACCACTACTGTGCTCAGTAACGGGCCATTGCTCCGCCATATTCTATATTGAAAGGAGCCAGTTGACATGGTTCGGTCATCTGACGTCGATGCCTCTTGGGCGTTTCCTGGGTGAAGTATTCCGGGCATGTCCTGCCCCAAGCAGGTCCTTGGCACACCCAGGACTCACTGGATGCAGGGGCAGCTGTCTCTGCTCAGACAGCTGCCCCTGCAATGCAAAAAAGGATAAGCAGCAGAAAATTGATGAATGAATGGATGAGCACAGACTGTGTATAAAAGCAAAGCCAGTACAGGCTTGTCTTAAACCAGGATTCTTTGTAGATACACTCATGTGTCACTTCCTATGTTTGCAAAAAAAAAAAGTCAAGAGTATTAAAATAAATGGGTAAACTGATCTTACCTGTGATCAGAGTAACAGGAGCTGAAGAGTTTATGGGCTCAATTTCTAGCTTCAAGTTCTATAATATAAAATGACCATTTTGTAAATTATGGTCCTCTAAGAATCAAAAACATCAATAAAACTGGGTGTGAACCTTGTCATCACAAGCATGAGGACATGGCTCAGTGAAACCAACAAAAGGACATCATCTACAAAAGGCAGAAACTGGACTTTGTAGCCACTGTTATGTCATCAGTGAAACTGCTCAAAGTTGGCAGATACAAAGATATTTGGCACAGTACTGATTAGTAACCACTGAGGGTTAAAAATGTTCCAATCCAATAAATCAATGTCTTGATGACTGCTGGAGTGAGGGACATGATTGGCAGGTGTTTGGGGAATGAACTGTAGCCATGTTCCATCTGCTAGGTTTCACCTGAGCTAATTTTAATTATTGAACTCAAGCATTTTAGTGAAATTACTAGGCTAATAATACGGCTCACTGTGCACTTAACGTACCATCCAAGGAGTTGGTGCTTCGTTTCTGTGGACCAGGCTTGTTAACCTTAGGTGACAATTTTATCTGTCATGAGACAGCCTACCCTGCTGATGTGTTGGGTGAGTGTAGCTCAGGATGTAGAGCAGGTCAGCTTCTGATTGGAAGGTTGGTGGTTCAATCTCTGCCTGCTCCAGTGTGCATACTAATATCCTTGGGCAAGATCCTAATCCCAAGGTGCTCTCTCATGCATCTATCTGAGTATGAACCTTTGATAGAAAGAGTTTAGGGGAAAAAGTGCAAGCTGAGTGAGGCAAGTTATATAAAGTGCTTTGAGTGCTCAGATAGAGTAGAAAAGCACTGTATAAGAATCATTTCATTTAACATAACTTAGCCTTCCATTCCGTCATTCAAATATGATCATTTCTAGCTTAAAAGAACTATAATCTCAATAATGATAATATGAATCTTTTTTTAAGATGAACATTTAGTTTAACTTTCTATTACTAATGTTACATTCTGTTGCATAATGGGAAACGAGGATGATTGTGGTAAGATACAGAATGACGATGAAAGAACTAATAATATTTAAAGACCCCATGAGTGATGACATCTGGAGATTTTGCTGTGGCTGAAGAGAAATCACATCTGCAGACTTTTTATATTCACACGCTGTTTGCTTTTCTCCTCTCCAGAAGATGGCCAAGTCTGTGCTCCTCACATCCTTCCTTTGTATGCTTATGAAAGATTATTTGATCACTTTGGAATCTTTAAAGCTTGCAAATACAATGTGTTGCTTTAAAAGTTAAAAAGAGAAATGATCTATGAAATGATTTACAAATGCATTACATTCACAGAATCACAAAGGAGTAGAATAAAATTTCAGTGGCTGCCCTGAGAATAAATCAGAGATCATAATTGTCAGAGACAATTAATTGTAAATATTTTGACTTTTATTGTTTCTGGGAAGTAGTCGGGATTTTAAGAATATAGTGCTGTAAAAAATAGGATAGTTATTAATCACTGACATTTTCACCATACTTGTGAAGATAGGATGAATTATTAGAATCTGTCAGTTATAAGGATTAAGGATGCAACAGGGCTTCCATAAAAATTGGTTCTGGGCTTATTGTTACTGGATTGGAGATGCTGCAAGCTGAGCTGAAGATGAGCTCTTGTTACTGTTCAAAATCACAGCTCTATCATGAAAATACAGGAGAATCTGATAGATTATAACAACTCAACTGTAGAAAAAATATTTCATAGGAAGACCTACTCAGCAACTATCTGAAAAAGATGGAGGGTTAAAATCTAGTCTTGGTAGAGCAATCTCTGGAGGGTAAGGGGTTAATAAAGGAAAAAATATATATCTGTAAAACAATAAACTTGCTGTGAAAATATTTGCAGCCAACAGGATAAAACAAATTGAGTCTAAGAATCTATATTTCTTATTGATGCTCATCAGAAAAAACACAGATGAACTGTCTTCCATCAGCTATCTGCATGCAGAGGTCTGAGGAGTCTTCCAGGAATGGTGACGTTTTTTGTTGTTTTTTTCCAGAGAATTGATTTGTCACTTCTCTGCAGTGATAGGCAGTGATTTCATACCTCTTGATCTCTAATCTTGAATACTACCTACTCTGGAGCAGGTTTTGTTCACCATGTTGATACATCGTGTTGTGAAGAGAAACACATTTATAGTACAAAAAACCCAAGGTTAGGCCTGAAGTCAGTAAGCCCACATCCAATTCATAGTACAGCCCTAATGATACTAGGTTTCTGTGTTTACTTTATGTCTATATTAATGAGTCTTAGATTTAGTGCTTTCCTGGTGGGGGGGAGGGGTGTTTGCATCTACTTAGTCATAACAGTTTTAGTGCTATAGTAGTAACTGTTATGATCTTCCTGGTGTTTCTGCTTCCCTTATTCTGTGTTTATTCCTTGGTCCTTTTCTGTTTCCTTGTTTCTTACATCTTAATGTCTTTTAGTTATTTCCTCTTTTACTGTGAAAGTTTATTTTCCTTTGCAGTGCTTCCTGTCCTTCTCCCCCTGATTGTCTCGTTCCAGGAACTGTCTAATCCCCAGTTAGCCCTCCTCTCGTGCGTATGCATAGTTCTATCTTCCTCAGTCTCTTTGTTCTGTCATCTGTTATGTTACCAGTTGTGCTCCCTGAGTTTTCTCTGAATGTTTTACATTTCTCTTGTGTTTTTAGTTCTTCACCATTTGATTCCTCTTTGCACAACCATCTGGGATTCATTCTGGCCCCAATAAAGATTTGTAGTTTATGATAATCTGACATCATATATTACCAAAAATATGGGGGGTCGGGGGTCAGAGGAAGCCCTACTCAGCAGCTATCTGAAAATGGTGGAGGGTTTGGATCTAGTCTCATTAAAGAGATTGCCTGGGGTCTAAAGGATTGACAAAGAATTAAGCTTGCCACAAAAAAATCAACCTAAAATTTTAGACAAATACTTGGAAAAATAACTAAGTTAACTAAGTCTACAATCCTAATGGCCACTAATTCAACTGAAAGTAAGTTCAGCACTAAAATGCTAGGTGCTCGTTGTTCTGCTTTTCTCTAGTTAATGCAATCAGATTGCCAACTTAAACTCTAAACCTCAGTACTTAAATGAGCTGTGGCCCCCTGCTAGCACTGTCATCTCACTGGAGGGCCACTTTAGTGCTCAAGTTGTACAAAAATCTCAGAAAATATAGTGTTTTGTTTGTTGTTTTTTAAATATATTGTACCGCAAGACAAAACTGCAAACGTTAATGTAATTTTTTCCCCTCACTCTTAACTGAAGCCTTTCATTGAACTATCAAATAAACACATTGTTACTCACTCTCTGACCAGACACGTGGCAGCACTTCTGCTATAATTTTGTTCGTATTTAACAAAATAAAAATGCAGTCATGAGTGTACACTTTAGTTTTTGACTGCCAGTGAAAACTGTTTTCTTTACTCTAACTCTCTCACTGAACTAACACTGCCAGTCCCTCGACATGTTTGTATTCACTGCTCATATTGTCTTCATATTAAATAATGTTTTGTTTTACTTACGTTAACATTGCACTCAACAGCAAACAAGTCCTCCTTAACAAAAAAGTAACTTCAAGGGCCAAATTGCATTATATTTCTTCATGTCAATATACAAGTAAGTAGGGTTAATGTGGGCCACAAGTGGCTCTCGGGCCGCAAATTTGATACCCCTGCTCTAAACCATGCTACTCCAATGAACTTTGCAAATGAACTTCCATTAAACACATCTCTGTGTGACGTGAATGTCTAGCATTTTACTGCTGTGCAACATTTAATTCAAAACAAGAAATAAAATGAATCAGTTGCTCATGTTTATTAGAAAGTCTAATTCATTTTTATTTCACCCTTTCCCACGTGGAACATAACTTTCTGCAAATCCAAAATGAAATGAAAAATAAAAACAGCTTGAAAAGTACATTCTGTTTCTCAATAGCTGGAAATCTTGTGTTTGAGGCAACGGATCCAGAAGTGCACTAAACATTACATTAATGTTGGCATCCCAGCAGTTGGTCGCTGTCTTTACATACACACACGCTGCCACACTAGACTCGTGTAAACATTGCTGTGGATTTGGTGACAGTGAAATAGTGAAATAATCCACAGGGATGAAGTGAGTGTAAAAAAAACCAATGCTGCTATGTGAATCTGGAATGTAAAAAGAAGACTTAACCACAATATAAAAAAAGATTACTGCTTTAAAATCCTTCATGTACTGAGTCATTGCTAATCTCTGTCCAAGATATTCATACATGTTTCTTGTTTAATCATAAAACTGCATTTTAAAAAATATGAAAACTGTGATCGTTCAAGAGAACTTGATTTTACAAAACCAAATCCACTTAATAACTCTTGTAAAACAAACATATCATGTAGCACCAGTAGGTTAAAACAAATCATGCAGCAAATTGTGTTGCTTCCTTCTTGTTGTGAAAAAGACTACTTCAAGAGTTGGGGGATAAAGTCCATGTTTGTGGTATCCAGTGCAGCCACCATTACTTTATGGCCATTTTGGATGGTTCTCCTCAGAATCTCCTAAATGGAGGTAAGAGCTGGCCATGTCTGTCACTTTCGTCCTATGTTTTTATTGTAGCAATGACTCTTTGGTTCACTGGTTCTGGGGATGAAGGAAGAAGAAAACATGATTAAGTCCTTTGTATTTGACAAAATTCCATCACTTGATTCTCAAGAGATTGTCTAGAGAAGTGTACGTGTTATGATAGTAGCAACTAAACGTCAATTTATTAACTCTATTTCTATGTAGATGCTTTACATTCAACCAAATATGGGCTAATTTGGTCATTATTAAAAGCATATTTAGATAAGGAAGGCAGGGGAGTTTGTGCTTAAGCCAGTTAAGAAAAGCTTGAAGATACAATTTTCTGCAACATGATAACAACCATTTTTCAGTGAAAAGTGTAATCAACTTGTACTCCTTCAGAATGATGGCTTATGACTTTTAAACCTATTTTATGGGATTGTGTTGGGCGTCTCCTTGCCCATGCAAACAGTGAAATGGTTCATAATATTGTTTTCTGACCAGCGGCTGTGGACCAGTACTATTTGGTAAAAGAGTGAAACATAGCTCAATATCATTATAAGCTATAAAACTTTATTTTGTTATAATCAGCCTGTTTTGTGCTGCATTTTAACTCCTTACTCCAAAGTTTTTTCTTGATCTGGGGTCAATTCCTTCCAAAAAGTCACAAAATTCATTTTTAGACACAGGAGAGAAAAATAAGGGCATATTTTCATTTCTGCTAGATTTGTCTTAAACATATCTGTGACATATACTTAAACAATAAGCCATCTGAAAGATTTATATATCTAAGATTATTCATCGCATGATTTGATTTACTGGTGCTTTATGTCTTGTTACATTTACTGTGACATTTAGCGTAGAACAGCAAGCTGATTTCAACTTTTCCATTCATTAAATATGACCAGTCCCTACTGAGAGAAGACTACTACTAACAAGAGGCGTACCTGGTTTTCCACAAGCCTTCACACACTGCTCGTAAGTGTCGAAGCGATTCTGGTTTCCACCACAGCCACCGTACCAGAAGCGCATGCAGCTCTTGTTGGCAGCATCGTAGTGCCACTTGAGAACAAATTTGGCACAAGTACCTTCTTCTTGTGGAAGCTGGCAAATGTCCACAGCTGTAAAAGCAGCTGGGAAGGAAATGAGAAAGAATAGTATTCAGTAAAAGGGTGAAAACATGTGCAGCTAAAGGTTATGCGATATGTGCTAAATTGCACTTTAAATATGAGATTTGGTGACTGATGTGATCAGCAGTTTTCCATAGTCATGAGATATGTGGACATATATGTAGACAAAGGTTTATAGTACATTTCCTAGCTGTGAGTATGTGATGGTAGTTTACTCCACAGCTGATAAGTTACTGATGACTTAACCTTGTTATGTAATAAGCCTTCTGCTAAAAAAAGTAATGACTCCTTGAATATAGCTTTTTTTCCATTTATTTTCTCCATGTGACTTGGCCCCATTGAGAAAAAGCATAACCTTGGCTTGGCTTTTTACTTGCTCCATCAGCCATGTTGGAGAATGTGAAGGGCAGTAGAGCATGCAGATGCCCCTGAAGACATAGTATTAATTGTACTGCAAAGTGAGCACAGCGTACAGCAGTGTGGAAAATATACGTAACACTGATATTACTTCCAAAGCCAGTGGCTGTTATGTATATGTATTAATGATGGTCTAAAAAGGTTTGATATGGATTTGCTTGCTTAAAACTAGACCAAAGGGAAAGTTTATTTTCTTCTGTTTAATATTTGCATACCACGCACATGCATTTACATCAATTTCAGCTAATCAATAAAGTGGGTTGGCAAGGAAAGCATGTGTAACATAATATTTTGGGAAAGAAGTAATCATGATATTCAGGTCTTAATATTGCCAGTGAGTGTATATTGGAGCTTACCAGGATCTGGGAGGACCTCCACCTGTTCAACTTGCTTCACCATTGGCTGAGGCTCTCCCACTGTGAACATACAAAAATATTACCGTGGTTTCACCTTAAAGGGGCAGATGTTGTTATAAAATACAAAAATAAATACCACAACATTTTTCATTGGCTGTTTCATAAGCTCCCACCCCTACTACCTGGTTTGGATGCTATTAGACTGACTCAAAGTGAGCTGACTTCTGAAAAACTGGCTTTAGACTAGAAATAATTATTTCTGGTGTCTATGACTAGTGCCTCGTTTTTAACAAGGTTTCGATTTTAAAATACTCTCTAGCAGCTTAAACTGTATTAAAGGGTGCATTTTTAGGAATGACAGATAGTATTTACTGCTGTTTACACTTAGCTAGATTTATGCGATGGTGTTGTGTATAGTATGTTGCTTTGTTTTGTTTTTTTTGTTTGTTTTCTATTCTTTTTCTCTCAACAGGTGATCCCGGAGATATTTTTTTT